ATTTTGAGATTGATGATACTCCTTTATGAAAGCTTATAAGTTTTCATGTGTAAACCCGGCCGGTGGATTTTGTATCCGACACATGAAATAAGTTAAGTGTAAGTCTAAAGTAAGTAATCAATAAATTAAATAGTCAGTAATTTAATTTGATTGATTAGTATCTAAATCTTAACATGGGGAGTTAAATAAGGTTTTATGGAAGAATTTCGAAATTGAACTAAGGAGTGCAATTACGAATTTTTAGTGGAATAATTCGTAATTTATTATGATGGAAATTAATTTCAGAATTTCGAAATTAATATCATAATAGGAAGCCTTGTTAATTAAATTCTGTGGTCCCTACTGTGCCTAAATAATAGAAAATAGTGAAAACTGTTACTTAGTGGGAAAGAAAACGTGGAAACCGTCCCTTAGTGGGAGAAGGAAACCTAACAGGTTTTGAAAACGATTTTGACCTAAAACGCAGCTATATATATGGATATAAGGGCTGGACGATTTTGACAAGATTCTGACCGCGGTTTCTACTAGAATTTTGCCCACCCAAAATTCTCAATTTTCGGTTATTGTTTGGGTAACACAGTAGAAGACTGTGGAAATCTGCTGGTGTGTTTTCAACTGAGGAACTGGAGAACGATATAGATTTGTTGTGTTTACGCTTCAAGAGGTAATCCTAAAATCTCCATACGTGCTAGTTGTTTAGATTACACGTGAATAAGATTCTGTTATTGCTTCCGTTGTGGTGTATAATCCTACAGTTTTGAATGTGTTTGATGGAAATTTTGAGGTTGAGGTGACTAAAAGATTCAGTTTTTGAGATTTTTACCAATGAATTATATGTTTAGTATCCTCCTTTTATAGTTTCTATTTTGTTTTTGAGGCAATTGTTAAGAAAATATGTTGAGTTTCTGAAGACAATAGGGGCTCTAGATGAGAATGAGAATCTGAAAGTACTTGGACAACACTTATCAATGCTTCCAGTTGAACCAAAACTGGGAAAAATGATAATATTAGGTGCAGTATTCAACTGCCTGGATCCAAATATGACAGTTGTTGCTGGTTTAAGTGTTAGAGACACATTTTTAATGCCATTTGACAAAAATGATGTAAGTTAATATTCTCTGATTTATGGATGAGAACTTACCATCTTCTTCTTGTTTCTTAGAGTGACTCAATTAATGTCTAAACATATGAACATATTCTGTCCTTTTCTCACAATAGTACATTTATTTCTTTCTTTACTTAAGGAATATCTGTGCATTGTTTTCATGAGCAACAGATTTAATAAGTTTTCTGTGCTTGCTTCTCCAAAAGTTGCTTCTGTAAACATTTCCGTTTATCTAATTCAGTTGCATTTGAGCTTAGCCGAGAGTCTATAAAAAATAGTCTCCCTTTCTTTATGAGGTAGGGGTAAGGTCTGTGTACACACTACGCTCCCCAGACCCCATTTATGGGAATACACTGGGTTCGTTATTGTTGTTGTTGTTGTTGTTGAGAAAATATATCTTGCTCAACTTGTTCAAATATAAAAATAAAAAATTACCCCCTCTGCCTCAATTTATGTGAGGTAATTTACCTATATTCGCCTTTACTTTTATAGTTATGAATGTCGTTGGGAACTTGTTAAGATACAAAAGTTGGACACTCAAAGAAGGAAGAGGTTGTACTGATTTGAAGCGTTTGATGAGGAATTAACACCAAGATGCTCTATGAGATTAAGTTTAATTAATTTATCAAGATAAGCTACGATTATTTAAACATGCTTGGCTTATAGAAGTTTGATTTTTATTGTTGGTACTAATATATTATCTCTTTTCGTCATCTTTATGTTTTCTTGAGCCGAGGGTCTATCGGAAACAACCTCTCTACCCCCTCGGGGTAGGGGTAAGGTCTGCGTACACATTACCCTTCCCGAACCTCACTAGTGAGATTTCACTGGGTCATTGTTGTTGATGTGAGCTCGCGGTAGATTTAAATTATAAAACTCTAGCAGCATAGTGATATAAAATTTTCGGTGTTGCATATGCTGTTTACTTCTTGATTTAAATTGATCAGGAAAATGTTTCACTCTTGTATTATTAAGTTATCCTTAGGATTTTTATTTCCTATTAGTTTAATATAAAAATTATTATGTTTGATGTTCAAGTTCTGTTGAATTTATTTCAAAATTTTATTTAAATTCAATTAAAAGAGTTTTATTTTCACATATGTAGTTTGGTTTCTTTTTGATTTGTTGAAATCATCCGAGTGAGTGCTTAATATGGATTATGGACATGTATCAAGGAATTTTCCCATTCTTGATAGTCACTGTTGTCTGTTTGATATGCGATGTTTTCAACTACTTATTCACTTTAAAGTTTAATCTACACTTTAGCACATCTGATGTGCTTTTTATGTAGCTCTTAGAATTTTTGTGCCGAGAAACTGGGATGCAATTGCTTAAACATTTAAATTCAGTTAATTACAAGTTAGAAACCTCTCTGAGATATATTGCTAAGTCTTATTATAAGAGATTTCATATATTTCTCTATAAGCAATGATCCTACCTTTAAATTTAGCAATATTTGAACACGAAAATATTGCATTTTACTAAAATAATATGTTTGCTTAGCTTTACTGTTCGAAGGAAATGCTTGTAGACAATAAGTTTGAGCATATTTTTTTATAAGGTAAAGATTTAAGCGTACAAGGAGGAAATCAGTCAAATGTCTAATTTTGTTTACTGTTGCTTTAAAAAGATATTGAGACGTCGCTGCTGTTTAACTCTCAATCTTTTCTTTTTATGTAGGTTTCGAGAATGTTGCTGAAATTGTTCTTCTCCTTCACTTTTTTATCTTCATCATCAAAGTATTCTGCGTACCAGGTACCCTAACTCTTGAGCCTAAGTCGATGTGTGATGTATAACTATGACACTTTGTGTGATAATTTTTTGTGTCAGCTATGTTGTGATTTGTGATTGGATACTGTTAAATTGGCGGACAACTGATTGAATTGATTCTTTTGTTTTCCCTAATGTTATTTTACTTTCGATTGTTAAAAGTTATTTATAGCAGACTATACTTAAAGAAAATCCTATTAATTTAAGCATAAAGTAATTCTATTGAATTGTGGATTTAACTGGATGTGAACTATTCGGTTTGTTAGCTTTCGAGATCTCTTCGTGTTAATGCTCTATCGATTTGACTATGTTAATTTTTTTCCAGATATACTTGTGACTTGGATTCTGTTATAAAAATATTATTAGTCCTAGTTTCGCCTTTTACACTTTAAATCACGAAAGTATTACTCAATGATTGATATGCTCGGTGAATGTCTTTTAAGATTGCTACTTGTTAAGAAAAAAAATGATCAATTTTAAATCTATTCGTTTAAATATTAAACTCTCTAGCTGAAATGATAAGTTAATTTCTGTTCGCTCACCTACCGTAAGTTAGTAATGCAAACGTCAATTTAATATGTGTTTTCTTATGTCTCACGTATCTTTTTCATATGTTCAGTCGTTGTTTTTGAATAAAACTAAAGTTCTATTGCATGTCCAAACTACCAAATCTAAGCTAGCAGTTTGAAGTGTCTCACTTTATAAATTAGAAGTGATAATTTTAAGGAAAACTCTTATTTAACTGAATTACATGTGTAACAAGAGAATATAAGTTTTATTTTTATAAATCCTTCTAATGCAAAGACATTTTAGTTGTTAGATTCTCGTAACTAAAATAAATTCGTTTTCTCTGTGAGTTCATCCTTGCTATTAATGTGAATGAGGATTTTGCGATTTAATCCTTTGTTTGAATGAATAACTCATTCAAATTTGTTACTTAAATCAATTTAAAGGAGTTATATGCATTTTTATTTGCAACCGAGTTTCTCGGAACTTGAACATTGCTGTTTTTTGGTTATTCTGACATTTACAGTAATATTCATGATTTACTAGTCTCTTTCGGTAGCGTAATGCTAATGTAGTTTGAATGTGGATTCTTTAAATCACCGGATAATTCATATATTTTTCATTTTAGGTAATTCGGAAGCAAGAAAGGTTCATGGGCCTACTTTACTAAAAGATATTTGGAAACTTCCGCCGGAAAGACAATTGATGTACCGTTCAATAATCGTAACCAAACTATTGGGAAAGAGGGTCGAAATCTTGCTAGCTTTCTAGGAATTATTGCAAGAACTCCAAAACTAACACCTCTACATGTAGATGATTGGAGAAATTTTGACAAGGAGGAAAAGAAGAAATTGGTGGATTTTGTGAGGGTATGGAGTAGTTATTATCATTATTATTATGTGAAAAAGCTCAATGTTTTATGCGTGATGTTATCTTCTAAATGTTGACTTTTATTTTTTTAGAAGAAATTCTCTATTCCAAAACGTGGAGAAGCATGGATCTTAAAGTCACTAGGAAAGAAATGGAAAGACTACAAGTGTGATTTAAAGGCTGAGTATGCGCAAAAATATAAGACTAAATATGCTTTGCTAAAAAATAGACCACGTCGCATACTGAGGATCAATGGAGTGGTCTTGTCTCTTATTGGCTTTCTGATAAAGCTAAGGTATCAACCTTGAAAACACTCCTGGTCTGCTTATTTTTATAGCGTTTTGATTTTAGTTATGCTTAATTTTTTTGTAATTTATAAGATGTCATTTTATTATTTCAATAACAGAGACGTACACAAACAAATAGAAATAATAGGGCCAAGCAAACGAGACCTCATACGGGAGGATCCAAAAGTATTGCTACCTTGATGAATGAGCAAGTGAACTTGTGAAAATTACAAAATATAATATTTTAAACCTTTTTTTTGTCACGCATATCTGATATCATTTTTATTGTATTAGGCTGTAAATGGGATTGAGCCTACATGAGCAAAAATTTTCTTATTAACTCATAAGAAACGTAAGGATGGTAGGCCACTGGATGATAATTCTGTCAAGACAATCATAAGATTTATTCTTTATTTTATTTTGTTGGTTCGATGACTCCGTCCAACAATGCGTATTTTTTTCTGCTCATGAATTCCAAAATTGATTTATTGTATATTCTATGGTCAGGAAATGATAAATGAAAGGATGAGCAATAGTGAGAGATCTACTAAGCAACCTCCTCGTAGTGTTGCTTGGGAAGGTAATGTGTATTCTCAGGTGTTGGGAAATGAAAAAATGGGTATGTTCGTGATTTAGGACTTGGTCCAACTCCTTCTGTTCTATGGGGTAGTAGGTCTTCATTAGGAAATATTATTGCAGATGATTCTTCTAATGAGGTTATACAAAAGTTAGAACAGAAGATGATCGAGTTAAAGGAGATACAAAATGAAGAAATGAGTATGATGAAACAAAATCAGGAGATGATGTAATCAAAATTACTCCAAATGAGACAACTCATGCGCAAATATGCTCCTGATGCATCTATGCCTCAAAGTAGCAATGGCACCTCAGGTGAACAGGTAACTCCATTTCATAAACTTTAGACATTTTTAATAAAATTCTAATCATATAAAAGTATTGTTATCTAACATGTTAATATTTATTAGATCCATGATGCCAATAGTGGACATGAACGAGTACCACAAACATCAAGAATGCCTAGTGTTGATGAAAATGCTCAACCTTCTCATGGTACTACTTATCTTTGTCCTTTGTCGCTATTGTTTTTCCAGTTTTTGTGTGCGATCCATGCTTGTTCTCTTGATATCCCATAATATTCCTAGTAGCATATTGTCCAAGATTGTAGTTGTAGTTTTTCTTTCTCTCATTGTGTATGAAAATAGTACGCAAACCTCATTGCTTCTTGTGTCTAGTAGAAGTACACAAAGTTGATTATGCACAGTTTATCGTGAAACTCTTGTGAATTCCAACAGTAGGTTGATGTATCCTTTGTGTGGCACCATTGTAGGGTTGTAGAATGACGAAGTACATTAGGATGAGATACCCCAATGCCTTCATAATTTCCTTATTTTGATGCCAAAGCAATGTTAAATACTGAGGCCCACAATATTCACCAATAATTGCGCTCATCGCTTATTGCTTATATTGATTTGCATATCTTCTAAAATATCTTCTTCAAGAGACCTGCAAGATAAAAATTAAAAGTGAAATCATAGGGATGAAATATACTTTAACCTCCTGTGGTTTCTTCAGCTCACCTTTATCACTCTACAGTTTGTGTAAGAAAATAATTTTGAAGTACTTTGCATATTTCAACAAAAAGAATCTCTATCTAGCACTTAAATAATTCCGATGTGTAAAAGCACATCTTATCACAAGAGACATAAAGGAAATAATCCTACAGAGAGTAAGCAAAGGGATGATGACTTCAATGATATGCTAATTGGAAGCACCATTTATTCCCAGAATCAACAAAACTACATAAGAGAATTGTACTCAATCTAATGGATTTCCAGTAACGTCCACTAATGTACTAATTCTGATCACATTTAAGTTATATGGTAAAATATTTATTTTAGAAGGTTAGACTATGTTACTAAAGTTAAGATTAGAGACAACTCATAGCCTAAAATCAACCACGTAAAGTAAAAGACTAAGAAACACCAGTGTTTTTTGTAGCTGTTGTGTTGATGTTGTCTACTAGCCTCGATGTCAATGGACCAGGATTCATAAAAGAGATTGTTCGAATTTCATGACATATGGATTCCAGTTGAGCAATGGAATATTGTGGTTCCTTATTCACCTGATAAAAAACTCGAGATGAAGGATATCTTGCAGTTCCTTGGTCTTTTTTACTTTTCCAGTCAATAGCACTTCATCTGAGTTCAAAAGTCCTTTGTCCCACAACAACAACATGAAATATGTAATTTGACTGGTGATGTGAAATCTAGAGGGAAAATATTATTGTCGCTGCCTCTTCTGGGACAAGCTGTTTTTAAACCAGTGTAGTAAGTTTTCTCAAGTGTTGCATCTGGCAAGTTGTCCTCTTTAGATGCTGTTGTTGTTTAGATGCTGCTGTCATTTAGATGTTGTTTTTATTTGGATATGAGGCTTTCCTCTTCCTTATTGTGGTTGGGACAAATCTACATATGTTGTCATCTATATATGTTGTTGTCGTTTAGTTGCACTTTGCAAAGCATTTGCTTAATTTTTGTTTTCAGTTTTGCTTTTTGATTGAATTCTGGTTTGAATTGAGTGTTTGTTCGACTATCTGCTGCTAAGAAGATTGTTGGATTGAAGAATCAAACTGTTTTTACTAAGCTTCAGTAGGTAGTTGTTGAAGTTTGAGTTCTAATTAATTTGATTGAAATGTTCATATTTTAGCTTAGTTGTTTTTGCTTATAGATGTTAGGTGAGGGAGTTGGCTCCTCTAACAGTAATGGAATGTTCTAGATATTTTTTCACATTATACTTTATCTTTTAACACAATTATTTTATAATTTCAGGTCATACCGTCTGATGTCGGATAATTTAGCGGGTGAAAGATTTCAAAATGAAGAAAAGTTGCGGAAATTATTTGAAGACTATCATTCATCTGGATTAGTTATATAATGACATTAGCTATTTAGTCTAAACAATGTATTTTTATGTTTTAAATTACTGTGATATTAATATTTTTGATTAGTACTTTCTTTTGTTTGTTAAGATTAATGAGATACATTATGTTTTTTTTTGAATTAATATATTTTATGTTTTGAGTTTTATTCTGGCCGAATGTAGTAACTATTATTAATTATGGCTAAATTATTTATAATTGATATAAAACAATTATTGTTAAAGATATTGATGTTTAGCGGCAATTTAGTTAAACATATTAGCCATTAGAATGGAAGCTAAAAGGGCAAATTAAGATGTTTTCAGAAGAGATATTATGGACATTTTAATTGCCACAAAATAATTGCCATTAAAGATGCGAACTTTTAGTGGCAATTATTTTTAATTTAACGGCTATAAAAAATAGATGCTAAAGATGTATAATTAGCCGTTTGGATTGGATTTAGTAGCCATTATAATTGCCACAAGCAATTGCCTTTAAAGATACGATTATTAGCGACAATTATTTTTAATGTAACGGCTATAATAATGGACGCTAAAGAAGTATAATTAGCCGTTTTGGATTGGATTTAGTAGCCATTATAATTCCCGCAAATAATTTCCGTTAAAGATAATAACTTTTAGCGGCAATAAAAATAGCGTTTACCAGCTTTTGCGAGAATAGCCGTTAAAGGCTTTGCCGACCCCAGTTTCAGTGGCAAAAGACTAATGGCCGGTAAAAGATATAACGGGTATTATTATTGCCGCTAAAGCCATTTTGTATTGTCGCTAAAGGTTTTATTTGTAGTAGTGTTTGCTTGTCTTGATATACTTGTCCTACTTCAATAAAACTTGGTGTACTATCTGTTATTATTATACTTTCATATTTCTCTATAACGGGAGATGTTGGCATATCAAGTAACTTTAGTGTTCCAGATGAACCTGCACGAAAATAAAGATAAATACTGTTATGAACAGTTTGTAGAAATTTTGTAGATAATTTGTAGAAACATTGGCATTCTGTATTTCAGATTAATTTTTCAAATAATATGTAGTTTTATTGTAGAATAAATGTAGAAATTTTGTAGATATTATGAGAATCTATACTGATATATATATATATATATATATATATATATATATATATATTTACTCTGACATGTGGTTTATTTATAGTTAAAATGTAGATAAAGTGTAGGATATTGACATACAACCAGAATTTGATAGAAAAATTAACAAGCCAAACCTGCAGTTGTGTTCGCATTGGTGATACTCAATTCCATATTGAAATCACGAACAGTTATACATAGAGGATACAATCCTAAGTTTTTGTTTTCCTTTTTCGTCTCCATGTATACACGAACACCCATATCGTTCCTAATTTCCATTTGAGGACAATGCTCGTTGAAAATGTATTTGATTTCTATAATTTTTTCGGATGTATCGATCATTAATTGCTGTGCTATTGTAGAATCAATAGACTATAACTCGCATCCTCATCGACTACAATGCCATCGACCTGAAATTCTCTAAATCTCCCATAGCTATCCCAATTCCCATTCAGTTGTAGCATAATTGGGATTTTGGACATAATTGCGTTTGTTGCAGAAGAATTGTAGAAAATTTAGTCGTTTTTGATTTGTGAAATCAGAAAAAAGGTTGAAATAGAGTGTTTCGCAAAAACAGAGTAGCTAAATTTGAAACGAAACCGTCGATAATTATTAATGTGCGTGATTTGCGTTGTAGAAGATCTGGAAGAATATTTAATTCTCCAATTTTAGCGCCCCTAAATAAGGAAGCCTACAACTACAATGATTCCTTATTTAATGAATTGTCTATATTTTATAGAAATACTATTAGCATGGCAGGTAATATGCAAACTATGAACATAATTGGTAATATAGTTTTCTATATGGTATAGGAACGGAAATTTCCCTTGATATTTTGTTTTTATTTTGCTGTTGTAGATAAAAATTACCACATTTTTTTTCTTTCAAATTTTAGTGTTAGAAAGAGAAAAAATTTATTTTAGGGTATCAGCAAAAAACATTTATGTCTAGCAAGTGCAAATTTCTCATTTAGTAGTTCATGGGGTGATTTAGGATTATCTCTTTGTGTAGACACAATGCTACCTATGTTTTTGAAGGAATAACATGATGTTTAGACCCCACATATCGATGAATACTGAGAAAAATGAGAGAATGCAATATAAAATAATTTAGAATTATTTTCCAACTAAATGTAGTAGTATAAAATAATATAGGATTTTATACCAGAAGTACTTTCCTTATACCCTGATGGGACTCGTTGTAATTTTCGTGTTTTTGTTGCATTGAAAGACAAGTTATATCTTAGTAGATTCATTAATAAGATTATCCACTGAAGATGTAAAGATATTCATTTAGTATGTGTTTAGGACTTATAAGACTTAGGGGTAGATTGGTAGGAGGTATTAGAAAAAATAATATATGCATTAGCTCAGTGCATTACTAATACTTTGTTTGATACATCTTTTTAACCTGTATATAACTAATACTTGTATTAGTTATACATCATATATGGTATTATCCTATGTATAAGTAATGCATAGAAAACCATGACATTAGTAATACCAAGACTATTAATGCATGCATTAGTATGACTAAAGACAAAATTATCCTTGAAGTCCATTAAAGCTAGAGAATATGAAGAGTATTTTTGTAAATAACTATTTTTCTTACAAATTATGCAATGCATTATAATTTTTAATACATCACACCAAAATAGTAGGTAAGAAATAATATCTGCATAACTAATGCTTGCATTACTAACCCATACATTAATAATCCATGCATTACTAATATATCTTATTCCACACTATTCTTATACACCATACCAAACGACCCCTTAACGTTATATTGGTTTAGTTGCAAAATGTAACCCAACAGTGACTACTCACTAGATCTCATCATCTCCTGAAATCTCCTAGTTAGATATCTTTTGCCAGGACTAACTTTGAGTCAACCAATTGTCACATCCTCATTGGATATGAAATTCTTCCACATGGCAAAATCCTCTCTCGTCCTATGTGGCAATTTTTGGGACCCCCATCATCTTCTAAAACCAACAGAAACAAAGAAACAGATTTGAGGATATGGAAGCAGAGATAAGGATAAGATTCATTTCTTCTTATTGGCTACTATGAAATTCACAACCCAATCCAGCCGTTGAATTCCTAAAAATCTTGTTGTCCCACTTGGCACTGTTCAAGATTGAACTAGAGCCACAACTATACCTTTGAAATGGCAGTACAAATGCATAAACAAAAGATACAAAGTTTAACTCACCTTAACTCCATTGCCATTTTTCTTGGTACCTCCCAACATCACCAACAACATATTTTTTTTTTTGAAGTGGGAAAATGGCAACAGTTACAACACAAGCTTCAGCTGCCATTTTCCGGCCATGTGCCTCAAAAACCAGATTTCTCACTGGATCATCTGGTAAATTAAACAGAGAGGTCTCTTTTAAGCCCTTGACTTCTTCATCTTACAACTCATTCAAGGTTGAAGCCAAGAAAGGTCAATGGCTTCCAGGCTTAGCCTCTCCTACTTATCTTGATGGCAGGTACATACATTCAAGATCATATTTTTTTGTTGCCTTTATAATTGGGTTATCCAGTTGTTTTCTAAAAACTTAAATAATTATGCGTGTAGTCTTGATTCTTTTTCATGAGCCAAGTATGTTGTTTTTTTAAATAAAAAAAATATTCGGTGGCGGTAAGACTTAATCACAGGACTAGGTCTGCTCGATATCATATTGAATTGTGTGACTACCTCATCCGAAAACTTAAGCTATTACAAAGAGCATACTTTTACTAATGGTTTTTAGCCTTGTTCTAATACTCGAATGCTTGCTTGTCTTAGTCTCCCAGGAGACAATGGTTTTGATCCATTGGGACTTGCTGAGGACCCAGAGAACTTGAAATGGTTCGTCCAGGCTGAACTGGTGAACGGTCGTTGGGCTATGTTGGGTGTTGCTGGGATGCTGCTGCCTGAGGTTTTCACTAACATTGGAATCCTTAACGTGCCCAAATGGTATGATGCTGGAAAAGAAGAGTACTTTGCATCTTCATCCACCCTGTTCGTGATCGAGTTCATCTTGTTCCACTACGTCGAGATCAGAAGGTGGCAAGACATCAAGAACCCAGGAAGTGTTAACCAAGACCCCATCTTCAAGAACTACAGCTTGCCTCCTAACGAAGTTGGATACCCTGGTGGTATTTTCAACCCACTCAACTTTGCACCAACTGCTGAGGCCAAAGAAAAGGAAATTGCTAATGGTAAGTCCAACTACCACAACCCTGTTATATTTCATGTACGATCACTAAACTTGATCCACTGTAACAATAAAATACCATAACTAATTTTTTCACATGAAGTAACTGAACTTTATCTACTATAATAGTAACATCACTAACTTTCACATGGATAATATGCAGGGAGATTGGCAATGTTGGCATTTTTGGGATTCATAGTGCAGCACAATGTAGTAGGAAAGGGACCTTTTGACAACCTTCTGCAACACCTCTCCGACCCATGGCACAACACCATTGTCCAAACACTCGGCAACTAGAAAACCTCATGGAAACTGGATTGAATATATTGTTACCCTTGTAACCATGTTATGGTTTTTGATCAAGAATAGAGCTTTGTGGTAAACAAGGAACCTTTAATGTACAGGGCATTTTAAATTGCAAGTCTTATTCGTGTTATTTCCACCCTATCGTCAGTATATAAAGTGGAAGAAAAGCCCCCTTTAGCTAATTCGAGACGCTTATCTAGACTTGGATTTGGTAAAGGGAAAGCTTTCTTTTAGTAGTTCAACTTATGCATCTCAATTGCAAAAGAAATCCCAGAAATTTATTGAAGCAAAGTGAAATTGGTCTTAGTCTCAGATCTCATACACGAGCAAGTTCTTATTCTACTTGTGCTGACCAATACCTTGATCATGCCTGGTGTCGGGGTTTGCTACGCAAAAAACTATAATCATTTGTGAACATAATTACCTATCAACAACCATTCCAACATAAAAGTGACCTTCAAACCACCGATCACAGATTATTGTATAATGAAAAGTTCTGTTAGTCGCTAGGAAACACAAGTAGTGCAAAGTGTCTCAAGTGTTCAATCACTCTGAACGCTTCTCTTGCTGCAGCAAAAAGAATCCAAAAACTAAATGAGACGGAGTAAGACATGTTAGATCAAGGAAGAGCAATTACATGAGCGTATATATTTGGAGACGGTGGTTGATTTGGTGGATTAATATAAAAACTTGCATTAGCATATTCAATTATCACGGAGAGAAAAAGAAAAAGAAAAACTATCACAGAGAAGCACACATGCATGGAGCAGAAAAATTCCATCTGTAAGATGGAGCAATTAAACATCATTACTCCAGTAACTAACTTTCACACACGGTTGAGAAATTAACTGAAAAAGGATGGTGGTAAAATTACCTGGGGATATGATTTTTCATCCAAAACTGGAGCTGCAGAGGCACCAGCTGCACTATCCCAGGAATTATTGCCAGAACCCAAAGATCTAGGCAGATTAAAATTTCTTTGAGTTTCATAATCCATCAAATACCCTCTCAAATCTACCTCACTCTGAGGATCCAAACTTTTCCTTTCCAGCAGATTAAGATTATCGTAAGGATAGTACGAATATGGCTCACTTAGCTGCTGTCTCAAGCATGCTATACTATTTAAATCATCCAAAGCAGTGGCATCTAGTTCCAGTTCTTTTCCAGAGTCCAAAACATGAGAACATTCTGCAACAGATGTATCTCCGGAGCACCCCAAATCTCTACGGAGAAACAATGGTCATCAATTTGATAGTAAGATCATTGCTAAAGCTGTTCCAGGCATGGTAACTGGTAAACAAATTAGACATGGAAGTAAAAATATGATTTTTAGGACAGCAATTACCAAAATCCAGCAACTTCAAGGGTGAAATGATAATAAGGTTGTAAAAGGGGAATGAAGTAAAGATGGTGAACAAATAGAGTCTAATACTCACCCTTGTGTTAGAAAGTTTGGTGCCTCGGGGAATGGCATGTTCTGGCTGTTATTTGCCGGATGACATGTCAGGGTCTGCTCCTCTTGTCTACTGCCCATTGGAAGATGCAAATGCGTCATGCTCTGGAGCTGTTATACGAAATTCAAGTGCAAAACCATTCAGCTATTTATACACTTTACACTGCTTTTCCCTAACAGCAAAAGCAGGAGACTAAAACAGAAACAAAAGAACAAGGGGAGGAAGGGCAAGAGGAAGAGCAGTCCCTAAGTCCCCCAAAATCCATATCGAGGCAAAGAATATAGTTCATCAATAGTATGACTGTTTCCTAAAAATTTGTTGCTGCACTATGATCACCAATTACCACCAAACCAAATACTTCAGTATTAATCCAGCTTTTGGAAATATTCCATATATTACCTTCCGAACATGAACTGCATTAAGCGACTCCCTTAGTTCGCACTCCATCTGCGTAAGATGTTCCACCTTATTTATCTTATCAGAATTACCCCACCAGCTACAACCATGCAGAGGAGTGAGGTCAATTAAATATGAATGATGGCATTAGTCATTTAACCCATACGATCCAATTCCAACTGCATATTAACTCAATCACTGAAGCAGCATATGCGGATTAAGATTAAAGCAACTGATGTGCCGATAATCGTACAAAATGTTATCATTGGGCCTATAATCAAGGAAAACGCAATTATACATATCCAATAAAAGTGTCCAAACGAGAAAATTGATTAGATATTCCTCAAAAAGTTTCTTCAAATACATTCAAAACGCAAATGGAAATTACAATTATAGCCTGTTTGGCCAAACTTTTTTTTGGCCAAAAGCACTTTTGGCCAAAAATTAAGGTGTTTGGCCAAGCTTCTAGAAGGAAAAAAAAGTGCTTTTGAGGAGAAGCAGAAACAGTTTTGGAGAAGCAGAAAAAAGTAGCTTCTCTCCAAAAGCACTTTTTTGAGAAGCACTTTTGAGAAAAATACACTTAGAAGCAGTTTTTTAAAGCTTGGCCAAACACTAATTGCTGCTCAGAAGTGCTTTTCAAACTAATTAGCCAAACACAAACTGCTTCTCACCAAAAGCACTTTTGAGAAAAAAACACTTCTCAAAATAAGCTGATTTTTGCAGCTCGGCCAAACGGGCTATTAGTCATCCTCCCAAACATAGATGGAGGAATGACAACACATGTTATCTGTCAGTAGGCCTCAATAAGATAAAAATATACAACTTATTTTGTTGATGGTTCCATATGATTACAACTTTTGAGGTGATCTGAATGACAACTATCAATGGACATGTTTTCGTTTGCAACGAATAAGCTTTCTACCACTGCAAAGCTAATTCTAGTTTAGAGCTGAACTAGGAACTTTGGAATAACTATACAGGGAAGTTTCTAAAGATTCAAAATGTTTGCTACTGTCTGAAGTGCCATGCTTAAAATATTTCAGCAGTTTCTATGCATGTATGTCAAGTATGCATGCCAATTGTAATGCAATGCGGTGATAAATCCATGTGCATACTGTCAGAGTATCAATGCACTCGGTCCTCCCAATCACTCTATCCTCACAGTCACTCAGTCGCTCACAGTCGCTCAATCCTCCCAGTCACTCAGCACTCGCGCTTGGCATTCGCACTCAGATAAGGAGGTGAATTTATGGCAACATTTGAACACCAAAAATGAAAAAGGAAAAACAAAGGAATGCAAAACTATACCTGAGTCTCTTTTCTACATCTGTAAGCCGAGATTGCAAGACTTTCACTTGGTTGTGCAATTCCTGTCAGCACCAATTATTAAGAAAAATTATCCACGACTTGAGTTAAGTTTTACAACTGAGCCAAAATGGTGTTGACAGAGGAAAAAACTGCATACCTCAACTGATGGATCACTGCAACAGAAAGAAAAAAGGGGGAAAAGACAAGGAAATTGTTAACATGATACTTCACAAACTTGTAAACGAGAACCACTCTTTTCGATAGGTACAAAGTTGAAAGAAAATATCCTCAAATTGATTAACGCTACTTACCTAGCATCTAGAAACTCTTGCACACCTACATCGTGGTCAAGCTTCTTGAAAGTCTTCCTTAATGTCTATAATGTAACCATTAACATTGTGATTACATTCAACTGGACTAAGAAATAAAAACAAACCAGAGAAAGCGGAAGAATCAGATTGGTGATGAATATCAAACTTACTTCAAGGCTCTCCAACTTCCTGTTTTAAGTTCAAGATTAACAGAAAACTGGTCATTTAGCCTCTATATCTTACTCGTAGATGAGACTAATCCAAATAGGCAAGACTGTCTTTTGTACCTTTTTGCCCTTTCTTGAGGAGTCAATTGAGCAAATTTTGCAATTATTTCATCAAAATTGCTCAAGACATGCAACAGATATTAGAGAATGAATAATCCTATAGTTCACCATAAATGATGAAGAACCTGCGATTAGCTAGTGACGAACAATAGAACACAATAACTAAATCACCACACAAGATTAACTGTGATTAAAGGCTAGTAGTAGAAAATAGCAATTAAAAGACTTCCTTCTGCACTTTGAAAATAGATGTCACTCAGTTACATCTAGTTAGAAGATCATCTTCTAGATGAGTAAAGACTCTTCATACCAGGTACTTTAAAATGAGAACATCGCTCAATTTGACCTTCACATGCCCTGTGCACGATGCTAGAAGTTTGGGAGCTTGCCAAAGATAGAGTACAGTCACCAATAGGCAATAAGGAAACCTGTTGTGTCACATCCTCCAATGAAAAGATCAGTGATACCCAATCCGTTCCAATTTATGTGAACCTGTTTGACTGGACACGGAATTTAAGAAAAAATAATTTTTTTTGAAATTTGTGATTCTAAACAAGTTAAAAGGGTGCCAGAATATTTGTGTGGTTATAAAAACTTCACATTAAGGGTAGAATTGTAAGTTTAAGCTAAATTGTTATCAAATTTAGAAAGGAGTCATTCTTTTTGGAACGGACGAAAAAAAAAAATAGGTTCACATAAACTGTAACAGAGCTAGTACTATGTAACAATCCTAACCTCGTAGATCATTACATAAATGAAATTCCACGGATTTCACCTCAAAGTACAATCACAGTGGTCCTCAATGAAACTAAAATGCAAATTTACACGAAATTAAACCTAAAGTACTAATCTAATTGCACGTGATTTTCAATCAACCCACGTGACTCTAACCAATTAGGATAATGACATACTACAACTCCCCAGTTTCAAATTCAATTTATAGTCGTGCCATTTGTATGACTATAAGCTTTTCATTCAGGCTAAGCTACGACGGGTAAAATAAAAAGTTTAAAATTAAATTATTTTCAAATATAAAATATATTATTCTTTTTTGAACAGACTAATAAGTAAAGTGTGTCAATTAAATTTAACTTAATAAAAGTTACACACGAAAGAAACTACAATGGTCACTGCTGAAATGTTAATGGTATATTCAAGAAATGCAAATGCTGGGCAAGATTGCAAGTACCTTCGTTCGCCTTGAAATAGCGTTGGTTTTCCAGTCGGAGAAAACATAAGGATAATGTCGATGTCACAACACTGAAATCTCCTCGGCTTTCTTCAAGATTCCAGACCTTCGTTTGCAATAGGTAACTTGCCGGTTACTACTGCTCTCCAATTTCCTCATGTTGACCCTTACTCTTCCCATCCTATAAACAACCAAAATAGAACCAAGAGATCTCATCCAGTGGCGGATGCAGGAACTTCCGCTAAGTGAGTTCAAAAAAGAAAAAAGTTTGAAAAAAACTAAAGCAGTTCAAAAAACAAAAAAAGTTCAAA